TGAGGCAAGAAGAAGTGGTATGACATGACGAACGTACCGTAAATACCGAGTAAAACGAACGTGCTCCTACGAGGGTTGGCAGCAGAGGTGGTTGGGGGGGGGACGACGACGACGACGACTACTACTACTACTACTACTACTAGTACGACTACCACCTACCCTACTCCCGTTGCTGTTGATTCTGCTGCTTGTTGCTGCTGCTGCTGCTGCAACTACTGCTGCGACGATACGACTACCAACACCACTACTGTCAAACCCGGAAGGCACAACCGGTCATGAGGGAATGGTGAAGCCTCTTCGAAAATATCGATTAGGGTCAACGCAATCCAAGGTACTGTTTGAAACGTTGCTGGGAGCTCTTTCTGTGAGCTCAGTCCTATTGCACATTCTTGCGCCCAGCAGCCGCGTAGGTACAAAAGACTATCTAGACTCGAGCCTAGACCGTGATTGCACAGCTTCCAAATTGGCAGACATGACGTCAAGACATTGCCACCAATGATAAATGCTGCGAAGGCTCATTGGTTGCGGGGGATTTGGCCGCATCATCTGCCTTTAGACACGCTTGAACAGCTTTCATCGCAGTCTACCCATGCCGGCGTCTTCCGAGCCACACATTCTAATCATTTCTCTTGACAAAGCCCTTGACAAACGTCTCCGGGTCTGCTTAGGGTTCGCACTGCATTCCACACGGCTGCGGCGGCCGCATCATGCCACCACCCATCGGTCCCATTGCATCTCAGTACAATGTCGATGCTGCAAAGGAGTCAGAAACATTACAGGCCGTTTGGTGGATGATGTGTATACGCTATGGTGAGCCCTTGCAGCAGAGGAATTCCGAGAAGACGGAAGAGATCGGAAAAGAATCCGGACTAAGTTTTCCAACAAGCTTACCCACAGTCTCTAGCAGTTTGCAAGTATCATCACTCACGTCTCGGCCACATTCTCAAAGAAGCTTTGATGACAGGAGTGGAGGTGTCTTCTTTTGACTCTCCGTAGCAGTAGTAGTAGTAGTAGTAGTAGCAGTAGTAGTAGTAGTAGCAGCAGCAGCAGCAGCAGTAGGAGGAGTAGGAGTAGGAGTAGGAGTAGGAGTAGTAGTAGTAGTAGTAGTAGTAGTAGTAGCAGTAGCAGTAGCAGTAGTTGTAGTAGTGGTAGTAGTAGCAGTAGTAGTAGTAGTAGTAGTAGTAGTAGTAGTAGTAGTTGTAGTTGTACAGGTGGTGGTGGTGGTAGTAGTAGTAGTAGTAGTAGTAGTCCAGGTAGTAGTAGCAGTAGTAGTAGTAGTAGTAGTAGTAGTAGTACTTGTAATAGTAGTAGTAGACCCGCACATTGCTGTCCACAAGCTGATGTCGAACTGCTTAGGGCGAATACCGCCTTTCAGCAAAAAGCTGCAGCACCCATAGTATGCCATAGCCCCTAAATCCGCTAGCCAGGCGACTCATTGGCATGGGTCCCATGCCCGTTCCCTTCCCGCTTGGTGGCATTCCTTTCATTGCCTCGGCAAAGACTGCAGTCTTGAGCATGGCCCTTAGGAGTCGCTTTGAGGGCCATGACCATCTGATTCGGCATCATGCCGCCGCCTCCGCCTCCATCGAATCCACCTTTGCCAAACCTTATCTACAGGCAAGCCGAAGGAAGGCATGGGTTCAGCGATAGTGCCCAGTAAACGACTATCTCATGTCAACATCAAAGTTCAGGACTTTTCCAGTGTAGAATTGTAGTATCGCAGAATACTACGGCTTTTCCGCGAACTACGTAGTTGCTTGCCTGTGGTTGGGTGCTCACTGCTGCATGGCTGACATTGGGCAACTTTGTGTGGATCCTACCAGTACTGCAAGACCACATGCAGATCTGTCTGCTGTCCGCTTGGACACATCCTCTAAGTTACGGTGCCCGTTGGGCCTTGAGCTGCCGCCAGGGTGAATTGAGACCAGGCCGAGATGCTTCGGCATGGCATTGTTCATTGCCTGCCTTCAGGCTTTCACGACGCAGGGAGGGGCCATCAGTTTTTAAAACCCGCAGACATGACAGTCTCGACCTGTACACATCAGCTGAGTCAGTCTCAGCTGTGACCTTCGTATGCAAGAAACTAAGCAGAAAAAACATGCTTAATCCGTCATCGCGAAAGCAACTTCCTAATGCCAGTTCACTGAGATCTTCTGAAGCTCTCGCACTGGCTTGTGCTGCAAAGACGCATGGGAGGCTGCATCATTCCCATCATCGGAGGCCTGCGAGCCCAGCTTTGTGCTTGGAGCAGCGGCCTTTTGGCCCTTGACACACGATAGCTGCGATTCTCTGAGCATAAACCCAAATTTTGTCATTGCATGCTGCATGAGTTGAGGTTGCTCCTTTCATGTGTTCCCTGCGCTTTTGCAGACTCACTTACCGAAATATGTGTTTGCGGATGCTCATAGGAGCGAGCCTGCTGTGCCAGCTGACCGGGTCAAGCTACGTCAGGCCCAAAACGCTGTCTGCCATCGGCCTGGCCTCATCATGCCACCCATTCCGGGCATGCCCATGCCGCCCATGCCACCCATGGCGCCCATGCCACCCATGTTCATCATCCTTGCAGAAGGACTTTAGCAGGAAGCTCCCGACAATGAGCGACATGCAGACACGTGTGCTTCACCGCAGATTTCCTCAAGCTCTCTCGGAGCCGTTTAGCAGCCGAGCATCATGCCCTGGGAGCTGTAAGCCTCCATGTTTGTCGGAATGCCCATGCCATCCTGATCAGACAATCGACAAGATAATCAAGTAGCAAACATGCGAGAGCCTTCCGCAAAATGCATGTTGGAGGCTGGTAACTCTGATGATGACTGCGCAGACATGCATGACGCAGTGCTGACATGCTGCACCGGCCTTGCCGCCTTTTCCTGGCGGGGATCGCTGATTTTCTGGCAGATTACCAGCACACGACCGAAACTTGGGTCAAGTTTGTCAGGCCACTACCCGGTATAGCTGCAGTCAAACGAGGCTGCCTCGAGCGACAGTTGCGCCAGCGGAAACCCAACCTCTGCTTCTAAAGAGCCCGAGGCCGAGGCACTCCTGTGACCGTAGTTTCTCCGAAAACAAATCTGCCCCACCACTGCATACTCAGGCTTTTTCAGCACTAAAGTGGGGAGAGGAGGCAGGTGGCAAAATGTTTTGCCCTCTCTGACCCAAATGCGGACGAGACGATGCGAACCTGATGTAATTGCATGTAATTGCTTGACAGGGGCCTTTGAAGCCTTTGCCATAGCCGCCATAGCCGCCCTTTCCACCTCCACCTTGGCTAGCAGTACGGCTGCATCACTCGGCAAGAGCCAGAAACACGAAACGTACGCCGAACAGCTGGGGCCAGAACCCTTGTAGCTCGTGCCAGGCGCCTGAGCTAAGCAAGGGCCAGAGTGACCCCAGTGATTTAAACACCAGAGCAAATCTAATAAAGTAACATGGCCGCCGTGTGCCGCCGCATTGCGCAGCGACCGCTGTATGCAGAACGAAAGGTCTAGGCGGCGCTTCACTAGCTTGGACTCGCTTCAACATGCATCAACGCTGAAACAACACCAGGGGACTCCCACATATCTTTGTCGAAGCCGCTCTTGTCGAGCCTCTGTAACGAGAGATTGTGGGACACTTGGCCGTCCGCACAATTGAGCTTGTACTGGCATCAGCCACATGAAGTTGGGCCTCTTTTCGCTCAGCAAGCCCAACGTAAAGCGGCTTGCCTTTCACTACCTGCAACACAGGGCACATCTTTGCTGCTTTGCTCCAGCCTCGGGAACTGTGTGCCCAGTTGTGATGACAGCTTTATTAATCTTGTGAGGCTGATCCTAAATAGCGCCGCACAGTGGGCACAGTGCAAGGCCAGGCTATCACGGGGGTCATCTATGCAGCCAGTGGTTACCCATCCCCTTTTCTCAACATGTCAGCACTCTGCATCTAACCGAAGTCAAATGCACAGACTAGTCCATGCAGCACATGCAAGTCTGCATCTCGATCGGCCCGGCATGCCCTGTATCTGCGACTAGAACTCACCACAGTATGTGCTCGAGCCTTCAGGTGCATCTCGGTCACGGCTTTCGTGGCGTCATCAGGTGTAGCAAAGCATACGAAGCCAAAGCCTCTGGCGAGCGCAGGCCCAGGCCCCGGATGTTTGCAAACGCAGCGCCCTTGAAGTAGTTGGAGGTTCTTTCATTCAAATGCTGGCTTTTCTCCAACGGATTCTGATCCTTTCATTCTTGACTTCTCTGTGTTTCTCGTTGTTTTGCGATTTCCCCACGCTTCAGGCACCCCCCTGTCGAGCTTCATATCAAAGTGGAATGTCAATCGAGTGGAACCCAGGGAGTTTGACTGAAGGGCGGCATTCCCGGTTGCTTCATGATGTACATCTATATATATATATATATGTGTGTATATAAACAAAAAACTATATATCCTACCCCCGATGCGCAAGCGGAGCCTCGTGGGAAGCATGCGGATGTGTCAAGTCCCCCGAGCCGAGTGGCTCACCGCTATTGAAAGGCTTTGTGGGGAGACATCTAACAACAAGCGCAAGCCCCAAGGAAATGAGCCGTAAGGGCAGTTCAAACGACTAAAAGATATGGCTGCCAGGTCCGCTGAGATAAAGGTATGGTTGCAAGGTCTGTTTCCTAGGCTCAGCTGCGCGAAGCAGTGGTTCCATGTGACTCCATCGCCCGAGTTTGATCGAGGCTGCGAAATAAGAGTCTAGGAGGGAAGGAAACATATGACAGCAAAATTCTGTCCCTCCCTCCCTCCCTCCCTCCCTCCCATCCAGGAGCAAACTTTGGAAGTCTTCCCCACCTCTCTCTCGTGCCTTCGCTCGATAAGGTACCGTTGTTGTGATTGCTGCTGTGCATGCCCATTTTGCTGAAGATTATCAACTTTTATTTTGTGTATACGTGTCACTGCTTCATATCGACCTCGTGGTTAGTGAGTGATAGAAATGTAACACAGATTTGCAACGTAGGGGAGCAGAGCAGGATCATGGGTTTTTGGGGACGAAGCCACACGAAACAGCGGGTAAACGTACTGTACCTGCTTCAAGTTTATGCATTTTTCGTATGTTCTCCCATGAATTTATAGCTTTTGTTGCGCAGTGTGCGGCTTGAAGGGGCTACAGTGACTACAGCCGACGTCATGAGTGGACTGTCAATTGCCTTGCGAACCTTCTGTGTCATCGACCCACATAGCTCACATCGCCCGAATCAGACATGTGACTCCGTGGTTGTGAAACCAGGCTGTGCAGTTGGTGAGATCTCCACAACTCGAAACGTGGTTCATTAGTCCGTGAGGATGAAATGAAACTGTGCCGCCTCGCACTACTGTCACCATCAGCATCTGCACGAGAGCGCTTCCAACTTCACAGAAGCTACGCAGCTGCCTTTACACTTGCCAGAGGCATCCTTCATTGCCGAGGCAGAGGTCACCTCCAATTACAAGACGCAACTTCTCACAGGACTTGCGAAGCCAATTTCACATCCCATCGACTACTCTACGTGCCAGCCTGTCCGAAAGGCTCGAAAAGCTGCCTCCTGAGCTTTGAAAACTGCAAGCTGCAAGCCATCCAGCAAACCATCAGTAGTCCCTTGGCCCCGAGTGTGCTTGCGTCAAGAAGACAACCGTCCGAGCTTCAATGAATCATCGTCCACATCTGGCTCGAGGTTCTTGACCTGAATATGTCTCTGCCCGAACGAAAACAGCATGTTTTGCTGCCTCATTCGGCCTGCGTCTGCAGCTGAGATCCGTCCCAATGCTGGATTAGTGAGATGTTCTGCCCATGCTGTTTTCATCTGCTTTCTGAAGGCGGAGTGAGGCCGAGCCGCGTAGAGATTAACGCCGGAGCTGCTGGAGCTCTTGGTTTCACTGAACTTGTTGCGGAGCTCGGCCTGTCTGTGGGGAAACACCCTGAAACAGTCGGTCTCAAACGAGGATTTCGCTGCCCGCCTGTCGCTCTTTCTTGGTTTGTGCTCGCTGCACGTACAAGCGACCGACCTCAGGCTGCCACAAACAGGCTCCATGCCGTGAAGCCATGCTCTTTTGAGGCCGTCGCTGGGTGGCCGTCCGGGCCGATCTCCTGACAGATGCAGAACTGAAAGGTGACATAGTGTCGCAGTTCGCAAGCTCACGACTTCATATGAAACAACCGTAGTCCTCATCAGGATTGGCTTGCTTCTCGTCGTCTGACCGCAGGTCCTACGCTGTGTTCTGACGGCTTGTGCTGATTCCTTGAACCCACACCACTTCTTTCATGTTTAAAGGCCCGGCCGATCACGTCTGTGTTCGTTGTCCGTATGATCTTAACAAACTCTCGGCACTTGCACGCTTGAGCATTCTAGCCATGATGCTCTGCAAACGCAGTTCCCAATTCCAGGCATCCATGCCGTGCCTGCTGTGGAGCTGTGCCATTGGCTAAATGTCTGTGTGCAAGGATTAAGCAGGTGGTTCACGCAAGGCCTTGCGCTGTCACTCGCTCGCCAGAGAACTTCACAACCAACGACTTAGTCTTCTGATTTTGGAGAGCGTTCCAGCCAGTTTGATAGTAGCAAGTCCGCATGCGAAGCTCGCGGGTCCATCATGTGCATTTCAGCGACACAGCGCTGAGCATCTGCCGTATCCTCGAAGTTCACCTTCCATGCCCAACAGCCGCAGAACAGGTGCACCGGCAATGTTTTTGCAGAGTATCGTGAGTTGGTTATCTTCACCAGCGGCAATGACAAAACTCAGAGGCCCTGGGGCCCGAAAGCCGAGTGGCAACAAAGCAACCCAATCTGCACAGTTGGCCACGGCTGACCGCAGTTTCATGCAACATTCATGCCTATGTAACAAATGCAGCGGCAATCAACTGCTATCAAATCGTCGTCGTTGACACAATGACTAGTTTTAGACTGCACGGGTATTGACGTCTTTGTTCTCAACACTCAATAGTAATACTAGTGACTAGTGACCATACTCGTAATATGAATAGAAGCTAGCCGAAGGAGAAGTACTAGAGGCAGGAGTAGATAAACGAAGCAGCAGCAGCAGCAGCAGCAGGAGGAGGAGTGGTGATAGTAGTGTTAGTGGTGGGGGTCGTCGTCGTCGTAGTGGTAGCATGAACTAGTGAGCTGCACGGCCGATGGACTGATCAAGCACTGCTGTATCGCAAGGGGCTTTTCCAGAGTGTCCTGACAGAGTGAATTGTACAGTGATCCACGCATCCTCCATGGTGCGAGTACAGATTCGGATCAGTGTTAAGATGTGCTCCATGTGCTCCCAATCTTCTCTTTTTCAAAAGTCTTGCACCTTTATCGTGAGTGTGATGGCTGCTGGGCTACGGCTCGAGCCTCCTTCATGCTTGGTCCTTCGGGGCGGTGAAGTCACACTTCAAGTTAAGTACTTTACTGAGGTTGCCAAAGGCATTGCTGCCCACGGGTAGCCGGGAATACCCCGCTCGCTAGCCACCAGGCGGACCCTGGACGTTCGTCGCGAATGGAAGGAAGGAAGTACTAGTAGTAAAAGTAACAGCCAAAGTAATAGTAATAGTAATTGAGTTAGTAATAGCAATAGGAGCAAGAGGAGGAATAGTAGTAGTAGTAGTCGTCGTCGTCGTCGGCGTAGTAGTAGTAGTAGTAGTAGTAGTAGTAGCAGCAGCAGAAGTAGCAGCAGTAGCAGTAGTAGAGCAGTTGGTGTACCTGGTAGTTAACGCTCAGTAGTCAGCAATCAGCCGGTGATGCT